CCTCTTGTGGAACTCCCTCGCCGCTTTGGCATGCCCTAGCCACGCTCCCATGTCGAACAGCTGAAGGCTGCCGATCCCCGACTTCGAGGGCGGGGCCGCGCTCGCCCACCAGACCGCGGAGGGCTCCATCCTCGCGAGCCGGGCGCCGCTCGCAGATCGAGCAGAAGAGAACACCGGCACCTGGCACTGGGCACGGGCAGCATGGCCCTGGTGGATCACCCCGTCTGCGACCCTCGTGCCAGGCGGCACCGGAAGCGAATTCGCCGAGACCTCAGCCTGCAGACGCACGCATTCGGAGGGCAGCCGCTCGGCCACCTCCTGGCGGGCTCGCCCGCGGCTCACGAGACAGCGGCGGCACGTGAAGCGCTCTGGCTCGGGTGAACTTGGGCTTGGGCGGTGCATGCTCAACTCTGACAGGGCCCCGAGGGTCGCATCGCGCACATTCCGTGAGTACCGCCACCTGCCTCTTCGGAGCCCTACTCGCGAGACACTCCACCTCGCGTGTGTAATCAATTTCAAAATCGGACAGCTGGAACTCATACGCAGCAGCCTCGGCCTGGCGACCGGCCATGTCATCGGCCTGTCTCCACAGCTCGGGAATGCCTAGAAACTTAGCTCTGCCCCCAGGCGTGCGGGACTCCGCCTTGCGGGTGGCCGGCCGCGCATCCCCGAAGGCACCCCAAAAGGCGCCGCCAAAGGTCCCGATTGGTGGCCAGGGCACTTGGAACGAGGTCTGCAGACCCCTCGAACCGCGTGATTCCCATCCGCGATCCCGCACAAGGCGCGCGGGCGCGCGCCTCGGCCGGCGGTCCCGAGAGCGCCCCCGCCGGCCCGTCGTCCGCCCCCCACGATTCCACCCGACTGCCTGGCCCGCTGCACTCCGCCGCGCAGGACCACTCCCACCCCGAGATGGTCATCAGATGGCGGGGCGACCTCGGTCCACGCCGATGGCATGGGCCCACGCGACCAGAACACAGGGCAAGCTTGCTACTCCCCATTCCGTTGATAAAGGGGGGAGGTCTGATTTGGAGGGGGGGGTCTGAGCAGGGCTGTCTTGGAGGCTGGGGGGCGGGTCTGACTTTGATGTCGAGGGGGTGCCAGGCCCGGGGGGGGTCTCCAATCCTTCGCGCGGGCCTCAAGGTCAGCTGCGCCACTGCGCCCCTGGAGCGCGCAGTTGGCAGCGCATAACCAACCGCGGCAACGACGCAGGCAGGGCAGCGCTGGCACAGGGCTTCGGGTTCTTCAGTCATTCCTGCCTCGAGCATCCTGCCCCCCGGCCCAAGTCGCGGCCGTGGCCGCGGCAATCGGGCGGCCCCAGGACCTGGGTGCCTGCTTGGAGGGCTTGCGACCTAGGGCGAAGGGCCACTTGCGGGCCCCGGCACGCTGGCAGCGGGCGGCCACGCGGCTCCAACCGAGCTCCGACAGAGAGGGGAACTTCGCGCAGAGGAAGGTTCAAAGTCAATGAAACCATGGTCTGGGAGCTCGAGCCGCCAGACACCCCCCGCGGGGTCGGACCACTCCATGCTCGGGGGGTCCCGCGGGAGTAGACAAGGAAAAAACTGCATAAACATAAACTTTTGGCGCTCCGCGCGAATTTCTTGGATCCGCGCTGGGCCCCCTCCCTGGCGCGCGGAGCACGCCAGGGGCGGCGCCGGAGGCGCCGCGGGGCCCCAGCGCGGATCCAAGGAATCCGCGCGGAGCGCCAAAAGTTTATTTTTACTGTGTTTTTTCTGCTTCGAGGGAGGCAGCCTTGATCCAGGGGCGCTGCCAGGATCCCTGATACTGCGCCAGAAGCCCTGGCCCGCCCGCGGCTGGCCTGGGCCCGCAGGAACCCCCGGGTCACCTCGGGCCAGCCGCGGTGGGGCCTCGCCCGAGCATGCGCGGCCAAGGAGGGCTCGGCGGCGCAGTTTTCTCTTGGGACAGGGGCCCCCTTCCCTGATGGGCCCATTTTCCACTACCACCACCATATGCAGGAGAGGGATGATGATGATGATGATGATGATGATGATGATGATGATGATGATGATGATGATGATGATGATGATGATGATGATGATGATGATGATGATGATGATGATGATGATGAGAGGAGGAGGAGGAGGAGGAGGAGGAGGAGGAGAGGAGGAGAGGAGGAGGAGGAGGAGGAGGAGGAGGAGGAGGAGGAGGAGGAGGAGGAGGAGGAGGAGGGAGGAGGGAGGAGGGAGGAGGGAGGAGGGAGGAGGAGGAGGAGGAGGGAGGAGGAGGGAGGAGGGAGGAGGGCAGAGGGAGGAGGGCGGAGGCGGAGGGAGGAGGGAAGAGGGAGGAGGGAAGAGGGAGGAGGGCGGAGGGCGGAGAGAGGAGGAGGAGGAGAGGAGGAGGAGGAGGAGGAGGAGGAGGAGGGAGGAGGAGGAGGAGGAGGAGGAGGGAGGAGGAGGAGGAGGAGGAGGAGGAGGAGGAGGAGGAGGAAGAGGACCCCCTCCCCCTCCAACTGATGGTGGTGGTGGTGGTGGTGGAAAGCAAGCCCATCATTATCCGCGACTGCATGTTTCACGTGTGAGCCTGGCCCGAGCATTTCGGCAAGCTCGGCGTCTCCTGACCCGCGCGCGGAGACGCGCTTCAGACTGCTGTTGCGGACTGCCTGCAAGCGTAAACCTGGCTGGTGCAGCTTGAAAAACACAGGCCAGGGCACATTTCCATGAGAAAGGACAAATGTGGGAACTGGGGCGAACCCTCAGGAAGTCCCAGGAGACCTGGGCCCAAGGGCCATCCAGGAATTGAGCATGATGAAGTCAAGTGGCAGTAAGGTCGAGCTTTATGTCATCGAGGTCCATCATTGGGGACACTGTGGATGCCCAACGAAGGATGCATCCGCGGAGGAGCGCGTGGAAACTGGAGCTGGCACAGACACGTCTGGCGAGCATTCGGATAGCCGCCAAAGGAATACACGTGCTTGACCTCCGCGCGACCTCTTTTACACGGGCGAAGACGCGCACAAGATCCAGGAGCGCAACCACATGAGTCAAGTTGCGAGCGCGATGGGGTAGAGCAAGCAGCCCATGGGGAATCAGAGGGGAAGTGGCATCGCTTCAGAACACGCATATACTGCCTATGCGCATCTGATCTCTCAAAACTGATATCGAAATGGCACGCCTCAAGCTTGTCTTGGCACCGGCAAAGGGGTCGGCGGAATATGGGGCAGGGAACGTCAAAGCCGCATTCGTCCTGGCACGGCGCAAACATCAGACCTTGAAAGTCAGTTGCACACCGTGCATCTGCTTTCAACTCTTGGCTACGCGCTGACCATCCTTCTTGCGGGATCTGCGACCCGAGCCTCGATCAAGCCCCGCATGGGCGACCGTGCCCGATGGCTCGACGCGAAGGCGGCCTTCCGACTACTTCTCAACAGCGCGAGAGATCTCGCGCGCAAGCTCCAGGGATCTGGCGACCGCGACCGACTTGCCAACAATGTCGGGTCCGATGGCCGACGCGCTCGCGCAGCGCTCACTCGCCGCCCCCGCAAGAGCTGGCGCGATTGCGCGGCGCGGGCCTTCAGCCATCTTGTCTGCGTCGACGACCCATGGCCCATTGCGCCGAGGAGACCCCTCGAGGAAAATAAGCAGCGCGCGCGCTCCAGGATATCAGAGAGGACCGCCTTAGCAACGTCATTCGCGTCCCCGTCGCCTGCGAGGATAGACGCCGCGGGCTCCAGCGGCTTGGGAATCGCACCCCTCGTCTTGGCGCAGCGGGGGGCGACGCGAAGCACGAGGGAGAGCTCGGCAGAGACAGCCACAAAAAAGTCCAAAGCCCGGGCGGCTCCCCGGGCCGACACAGGGCCCGGGGAATCGCGATCGGCGCCAGAAGCCGGGCCTCCGGTCGCGCCCAGACGTCCCGACCGACTTCCGAAGACGGCTCCAAGCGCGCAAGAGGATGGGCGATATCGCCACCGCTCTCCCTCTCTCTCCCTCTCCCTCCCTCTCCCTCCCTCTCCCTCTCTCTCTCTATGTGTCTCTTTCTTTTCCCCCTCGCTCTCTCTTCTCTCTCTCTCTCTCTCTCCCGTCGAAGGCTCGGGCATCGTTGCCCCCAGGGCCAGGCTGGCGCAGTCGCCGAGGCGAGGCCTGCAACTGCTCGCGCCTCGGCGAGCGACTTCGCAGGAGCCGTCCTCAGGTCTGCCTGGCCGAAGTTGTCGCTCCCTCGCCCCGTTGCCTCTCGTTGCCTGATGAGGGAGGAGGAGACGAGGAGGAGGACTATGCGGGACTATGCGGAGAAGACGTCCACAGCTCTGTGAGCACAATGGGGCATTGAGGCTTGCGGGGCCCCTCTGCTCGAGGGGGGGCCCACGACGAAAAACAGCCAAAAAGAATGGAAGGCCCCGCGCCGCAGGGACCCCCAGCAGGCCCCAGCAGCCCCCCCTAGTAGGGCAGCCAGGGCCAAAAAACCCCAGGGCGTGACGTGGCCGCACCGGAAGCGCCGTGCAGCCGCACTGCCCTGGGGGCCAGGGGCCCCAAGCGCCAGCAGTCGGGCCCCCGCTTCCTGCACCTCGCCGCGCCCTCGGATCAGGCGACGGGTGCCGCCGCACCGCGGTCCAGTGGACCCTGCGGGCGCGCGTCGCAGGCCCGAGGGAGCCCGCGCGACGAGGAGGAGGAGGAGGAGGAGGAGGAGGCAGGAGCCTGGAGGAGGAGGCGGGAGGAGGAGAAGGAGGAGGAGGAGGAGGAGGAGGAGCATCACAAAGGAGGACGGAGCGAGGGAGGGAGCGGGGGAAGGATGGAGCGTGGAGCGAGGGGCGGGGCGAAGATAGCACGAGGGATGCACGACGAGTAGACAAGCGCGTTCCGCTACTCGCAAAGTAACTACTCGCAAATGGCCTGGATCCGCCACAGAGGGGGTGCGATACATTGCATCGAGGCAGACATGTGTTTTTTGGACGTTTGCGAGTAGGCACTTTGCGAGTCGTGGAACGCGCTCGGTGAACGAGGGATCCGAGGGGACCGGGACCAGCGCCGGCGGAGCGGGCGAGGCGGGGCCTGTTCGCCTCGTCCTTCTGCTCGCGGCTGCCGTTCCAGCACAAGGATTCGGGCGGCGGCTGGCAGGGGGGAGCGGCCAGCGGCCTCCCTCCTCAAGCCTGCCCCCTCCTCAGTCCTGCTCCCCCCTCCTCCTCCCTCCCCCTCCTCCTCCTCCTCCTCCTTCTCCTCCTTCTCCTCCTCCTCCTCCTCCTCCTCCTCCTCCTCCTCCTCGTCCTCCTGCTCCTCCTCCTCCTCAAGCCTGTCCCTCCTCGACCTCCTCGTCCTCGTTCTGCTGCTGCTCCTCCTCCTCCTCCTCCTGCTCCTCGTCCTCTTCTTCCATCGCTCCTCCTCCTCGCCCTGTCCCTCCTCGACCTCCTCGTCCTCGTTCTGCTCCTCCTCCTCCTCCTCCTCCTCCTGCTCCTCGTCCTCTTCTTCCATCGCTCCTCCTCATTCAACGATTCCTCTCGTCTGACCAACACGCGTGTCGGTAGGGCGGGCGGCGCGTTTCGCCTTAGACATCCTCTCCGTTACCGATCCCGGAGCTTACTTTCAACAAGTACCTGGATGGAGACAGGTCGTGTTCGAGATGTGGCCCTCGCCTCAGTGCTACGCGTACTCGTCTTGAAGATTTCCCAACTGCGACGTGACTGGAGCACAGGTCGCTTGCACAATGTGGCTCCACCTTCAGCGCCGCGCGCATTTGTCTTAACATATTCCAGCAGCTACACGGATTGAGGGCGGCTCCTTGGCAAAACAAGACTTTGTTAGAGACTCCCTTAGATATTTTTCATGCTCAGGAATCACAAGTTGTGCAACAACTACGGTCACGCCATGCCTTGCGAGTGGACATTGTGTCGCTCGGCTCAACGGGGCGGGAGGCTCGGAAAGGCTCGGGACGTGGACGCCTGGGGGCCTGAATATGGATAGCATGTCACGCCGAAACGTGGTAGGCCAGAACTGGCAGCGCGACACGCTGACTAAAAAGTGTCATCCTGACCGTATACGGACGGATGGCAGCTCCTTGTCAGATCGGAGCTGTCGCTTGAGACGCCCTTAGGTTGTATGGCCAGGCTTCGAAAAGTTGTGCACGTTTGCACGGGTTGATGGCGGCTCTTTTTCAAAGCGGAGCCCTTGGGCGTTGTGCAGCATCGCTGATACATGTTAGGTTTACTCTGGTCCTCCTCCTCCTCCTCCTCCTCCTCCTCGTCATCATCATCCTCGCCCTCGTCGTCCTCCTTCGCCTTCTCTTACTCTTCTTACTCCACCGCCTCCTCCTTCCCCTCCAAGGGTCGGCCACCGCCCTGTCGGATGCTTCTCGGGGCTTCTTGGCCTCCAAGCTCGGTCTTGACGAGGTTCCCCCTCGTGCTCGGTGCCAGGAATCGACTCGTCCGTGGGCTCGCGCTGTTTGGATTCTCCTCCCGCGCCGCGGGTGAAGAGCTGGGGAAGCGGGTCAGGACCCCGACGGATCGGGGGACGAGTTCTAAGCGTTTGCTTGTGCGTGCGAATTGGGTGGTCCACTTTTCAACTGGTGCTACACTCATCCTCCACTCTGTCGTCGTCTTCACCCTGTCTGTTACCGCTCATGCTGCCGCTACCACGCCTGCTCCTGATCCTGTTCCTGCTCATCTTCATGTTCCTCCTCCTCCTCCTCCTTCTCCTCCTTTCCTCCTATCACCTCTCGCATCCCTCCTCCTCCTCCTCCTCCTCCTCCTCCTCCTCCTCCTCCTCCTCCCCATTCCCTCCTCCTATCTCCTCTCCCATCCTTCCTCTTCCTCCACACCTAAACCTTCATCCACATCGTCCTCCTCATCATCAGCAACATCACCATCACCATCAAGAATCACCCACACCAGCACCAACACCAACACCATCATCAATACCCGCATCCTCATCGTCACCGGTATGGCAAACATCGTCAACAACATCATCTTGCTGCCCTCCTCCTATCTCCTCCTTCCTAAGGCCCCTCTTCCGCATCATCACCAGCATGATCATATGCCCATCCCTCTTACTCCATCCATCCCTGATGTGTTTCCTTCCCAGTGGGATATGATATCAGAGTTGCGCCTCCTCCTCCTCATCCTAATCCTCCTCCTCGTCCTCCTATAGTTCAGCATCCATGTACCATCCTCATTTCGTCTCGTTCTCCTCCTCCTTCTCCTCCTCCTCCTCCTCCTACTTCGTCCCTCCTTCCTCATCCTCCCCCTCCTCCTGCCCCGTCCCTCCTCCTCTCTCCTCCTCCGACTCCCCCCCTCCTCCCCCCTGATCCTCCTTCTCCTCCTCCTCACCCTCATTACCATCTTGTTCGTTACTTGCTCCTCTTCATCCTCCCTCCTTCGCCCATGTCCCCTTCTTCCTCCCTCATCCTCCTCCTCCTCCTCCTCCTCCTACTCCTCCTCCTCCTACTCCTCCTCCTCCTCCTCCTCCCTCCTCTCCTCCTCCTCCTCCTCATCATCAGCATCATCATCATCATCATCATCATCATCATCATCATCATCATCATCATCATCATCATCATGATCATGATCATCATCATCATCATCATCATCATCACCACCACCACCACCACCACCATCATCATCATCATCATCATCATCATCATCATCATCATCATCATCATCATCATCAGCAGCAGCAGCAGCAGCAGCAGCAGCATCATAAGCATCATCATTATCATTAGCAACATCAGCATCAGCATCAGCATCAGCATCAACATCAGCATCAGCATCAGCAGCATCATCATCATCATCATCATCATCATCATCAGCAGCAGCAGCAGCATCCTACTTCCCCACTGGCCCTCCGTCCCTGCACATCTCGTCCCTCCTCCTCGCTCTCGCTGGCTCTCTCTCTCTCTCTCTCTGTCTGTCTGTCTGCCTGTCTGTCTGTGAGTCAATATGTGTGTCTGCCTGTCTGCCTGTCTGTCCGTCTGTCTGCCTGTCGCTGTCTGTTTCTCTGTCTCTCTCCCTCTCACTCTCTCTACGACTATGTCTCTCCTCCTCGTCCGTCCTCATCCTCTTCTCTCTCTCTGTCTCGTTCTCCATCTCTCTCTCTCTCTGTCTCTCTCTCTCTCTCTCCTTCCCCTTCTCCTCAAAAGCTCATCAAATTCCATACTCCTCCTTCTTCTTCTCCTCCTGATCCTTCTCCTCTTCCTCCTCCTCTTCCTCCTCTCTTTCCCTCCTTCTCCGTCTCCAGGAGGAGTAGGAGGACTTATGTACACCCAATGCGCATCAACGATATTGAAATAAACCCTCCCTCCAATTTCCCTCCTCCTCTTCATAAGCCCCACACGAGGGTTCACTTCCACTGAAGGAAAAGCCCCGCTGGAAAACAACCGCTTGTAAATCCTGAGCTGCGCCAGAACACCAGTCCTGGGACTTCACGCCGCGAGTCACCCTTGCTGTTGCGTCTTGACGCTCCTGGGTCGTACCAGAGCACTATCCGTGGGACCTGCAACACCACGAGTCAACGGAGCTGATGCGCCATGGCAATCCTACGCGGTGTCCAAACACTATTTCTGGGAGGCTAGCCATGAGAATCCTCGGACCTGCTGTGAAATCTTAAGACGAATGTGCGCGGGGCTACCACGAGAGCCACATGTTGAGAAGGAGCCGCCCTCCATCCGTGAAGCTCCTGCATCTGCTTAAAGACGAATGTGCGCGGTGCTAAAACAAGAGCCACATGTTGAAAACCAACCGCCCTCCATCCGTGAAGCTCTTGTATACTTTGGTAACGGGTGTGCACGGCGCTCAGGCGAAAAACACATTTTGAAAACCACCCGACCTCCATCCGTGAAGCTCTTGCATTTGTCAAACGGATGTGCGTGGCGCTAAGGCCACAACCACATTTTGAAAACGACCCGCCCTCCGTCCGTGAAGCTCTTGCAAATGTAAGCTTCAGGATCATAAACGGTGAGGAAATCTCAAGCGAAATTCCAGGCCCGCCCGCCCTTTTGACCAGCCTCGGAGTGCGACAGTGAGGAACTATTGATAAGGGAAAGGAACAGAGGACGGCGACGACGACGACGGCTTACCAACAGGTCGGAGACCCTCACATCCAGCTTGAGTGCCCCCGGCCTTCATTGGCTTCTCTCCGTTTGACCCTCCAACACGCGACTGGTGGCACCTCTCGGCCCACACCTCCGACATGGTGGCTTCTCTCGGCATGGGCCCCAGAGCCTCTCAGGACCATCCCCTGGACAGCGTGATTGTCTCGCCGTGAACGTCCCGTCGTGGGCCCTGCGGGGTCGGAGAACGTGCGCCCGGGACGCCGAACCTGCGTAGAAGAAACGCGCCCGAGGGCAACCCGAGGCCGACAGGCCTCGCTAAACTAGGACAACTTGGATTATTGCTCTCTCTCTCTCTCTCTCTCTCTCTCTCCTGTGATCAAATGACGACGATGACAACTGCCAGCCTCCCCACTGATGGGAAGGGGACTCCACCATGCCAGAACATCTGCCTGAGAGGATCATGCCTCATGCGCCCAAGCCAGGACAAGCTGGAAAGCACGAACCGATGCCGAGCGGCTCGACACGCAGCTGCAGCTTGCTCGGGCGCGCCAGCGTCCTGATTCGTCAGCTTGGCCTGGCGAAGAGCCCAACCCCCTTCTCAACGCGAGGCGGCCATAAACATGACCACTCGACGCGCGAAAACACACATTGATGGGGTCCCTGTGGGGCACGATCCTCGTGAGGGGTGTGTGTGTGTGTGTGCCAGAATTGGCGCGGGGACGATCTGCGAACGTACCTACAGGGGCCATAGGTGGAGCTCACCGTGGGGCACGATCCTCGTGAGGGGTGTGCCGAAGTTGGCGCGGGACGCCATGCGAACGCACCCACTGGAGCCATAGGTTGAGTTCCCTGTGGGACACGATCCTCGTGAGGGGTGTGCCGAAATGGGCGCGGGGACGCCATGCGAATGCACCCACTAGGGCCGTAGGTTTAGCTCACTGTAGGGCATGATCCTCCTGAGGCGTGTGCCAAAATGTGCGCGGGAACACTGGGCGAACGCACTCACTGGGGCCACACGATTAGCTCCTTGTGGGGCACGATCCTCGTGATGGGTGTGCCGAAGTTGGCGCGGGACGATGTCCGACCGCACCCACTAGGGCCGTAGTTTGAGCTTCGGGCACGATCCTCATGAGGGATGTGCCGAAATGGGCGTGGGGACGCCATGCGAATGCACCCACAGGGGCCATAGGTTTGGCTCCTTGTAGGGTATGATCCTCGTGAGAATTGTGCCGAAATTGGCGCGGAGACGCCATGCGAACGCACCCACTGGAGCCATACAGTATTCGGCCTGGCCTGAGGAACGATAAAAAAGGAACGAGGCCTTTTTCGTTCCAAGTAAGTCTACGAAGTCCGAGGGAACACCAGGGGGGATCGCCGCCAAAAAGGTAGCGTAACGCATGCAAACCAAAAGAACGACCGAACCCCTTTTGAAAAGTAACGGTTCCTCATTCAAGCCGGACCCTGTAGGTTGAGCTCCCTGTGGGTCACGATCCTCGTGAGGGGTGTGCCAAAATGGACGCGGGGACATTATGCGAACGCACCCACTGGGGACACAGGTGGAGGTTCCTTGGGGGGTGCAGGAAGCGTGTGAGGGGTGTGCCGAAATGTGCGCGAGGACACTGGGCGAACTCACCAGCTGGGGCCATGGGTGGAGCTCACTGCTGGGCACGATCCTTCCTAGGGGTGTGCCGAAATTAGCGCGGAGACGCCATGCGAACGCACCCACTGGAGTCATAGGTTGAGCTCCCTGTGGGACACGACCCTCGCGAGGGGGTGTGCCGAAATGGGCGCGGGGACGCCATGCGAACGCACCCACTGGGGCCATTGGCCATAGGTGGAGCTCCCTGTGGGGCATTGAACGTGTGAGGGGTGTGCCGAAAATTGCGCGGTGACGCCATGCCACCGCACCCACTGGGGCCATAGGTGGAGCTCCCTGAGGGGCAGGAAACGTGTGAAAGGTGTGCCAAAATGGGGGCGGGATCGCCATGCGAACGCAACCATTAGGGGCCATAGGTGGAGCTCCATGGAAGGAACGACCCTCGTGAGGGATGTGCCGAAATGGGCGCGGGGACGCCATGCGAACGCATCCACTGGGGCTATAAGCTTAGCTCCCTGGAAGGCACGATCCTGGTGAGGGATGTGCCGAAATGGGCGCGGGGACGCGAGGAGTACATCAACAGCAGCAGGAGCGGCAGCGATCGAAGGAGGGAAGAGGGGAACGAGGAGGAAGAAGTGGGGTAGAGGGAGGGAGGGAGGGAGAGAGGGAGGGAGGGAGGACGAGGAGGAGGAGGAGGAAGAATAATAATAAGAAGAAGAAAAAGAAGACGAGGTGGAGGAGGAGGAGGAGGAGGAGGAGGAAGGAAGATGAAGGAAGGGGGAAAGGAAGGAAGGACGGAAGGAGACGCGCGGCGCTGCGGATTCACGAGGAGGACCCAACTCACAGGATTGTTAGGAAAAATACCAATTTGGAAACCTCTGACGCTGTTTCGTCCCCCGACATCCGGATGTCTGGGAACGGCGACGAGGCCGGCCTTGAGGCCCGGGGCCCGCTGGTTGGCCAGGTACGTGACCTGCGCCAGCGGGCAGTGCCCGTCAGGACCTGGCGTCGTCTGCGTAAGGGCGCGCCCGGGGGGGGAAGTCCCAGGCAGAAGGATGAGGACAACCACGGCGACAAGAATGAGGGGGAGGAGGGGGAGGAGGAGGAAGAGGAGGAAGAGGAGGAAGGGGAGGGAGGGAGTAAGAGGAGAAGGGGGAGGAGGAAGTGAGGAGGGGGACGAGCACGAGGAGACAGAGGGGCAGCCCTCCGTCTGCTTGTGCTCGTCCCCCTCTCAGGGGCAGGGGGCTGATGATGCGGAGGAGGAAGAGGATCTTGAGGAAAAGGAAGAGGACGATAGCGATGATTCTTCGCCTTGACAACGGACCTTTCTGGAACGCAAAGAACCGAAATGACCGAAGGGTGAAAGTCTGGAAGACCTTCTTGTTTCGCGCGTGGAAAGCCATTTGTATCATGGGGCCGGGATCTGGAACAGGCCGGGATAACGAATTACGTGAAACATCAATGGGATTACTTCAGTCCAAGATCTAAATAATTCCCCAAACGGTGCTTATGCTTAAGGTATCTTACTTCTCCTCAAAAGAACTGGGCCGCGTGGGCGGTCTGGCCGCTATATTCCGGCCGTCGCCGCCCCGTCGCCGCCTGGTCGCCGCCCGTCGTCTGGGCCGTGTGTGCGGTCTGGCAGCTACATTCTGGCCGTCGCCGCCCTGTCGCCGCCTCGTCGCCGACCGTCGTCTTGGCCGTGTGGGTGGTCTGGCAGCTATGTCCCCGCCGTCGCCGCCCCGTCGCCGCCCCCTCGCAGCCTCGCCGCCGCCCGTCGCCGCCGTTGGCTTGACCACATAGAGTGCACGAAAAAGAATTCGCGCCTGCGTCGCGCATGTTGATCGCTCACAACACAGATTGCACCACATATAGTGCACAACGTAGATTGCACCATACATATTGCAGAGCATATTTGCATAACCACATAGATTACACACACATTGCACAACAAAGATGGCAACACAGACCTTGCACCGCATAGATTGCGCCACATAGATTGTACCACATACGTCGCACAAACATAGATCGTACCTCATACATTGCATCACGTACATTGACCTGCCTAGATTGCAGCACGTAAGCTGTGCGGAAAAACGCGCCTGCGGTGCATTTTTGATCACTCACAACATCGGCTGCACCACATGTACTGCACCACATCGATTGCACCATACACACATATGTATATATATATATATATAGCACAACAACTTGTGCACAACATAGTTGGCAATACATATGTTGCACCGCAAATATTGCACCACCGAGTTTGCCCCACACAGATGGCATCACATCGATTGTACCACATATATTGCACAACCTGCATCGCACATCGAAGACGGCACAGCAGATATTGCACAACATACATTGTACCACATAAGTTGCGCAACATAACATTTATCGCTCCACATCGATTGCATCACCTCGCTTGCCTCACAAGCACAAGCACACTCCTCCTCCAGGGGTCTGGTGCCGGCTCCTCCGCTGGTGGGGGCCCTCCGCCTCCGCAGCCTCCTGGAGCCTTCAAAGAGCCGCTGTCTATGACGCTGCCTGCGACCTGCCTGCTTTGCAGACCTGCGCGCCGCCACGCTGCTTCCGGGCAGGCCGTGCTGTCCGGCGAGGAGGAAGGAGGCGGAGGAGGAGGAGGAGGAGGGGGAGGAAAAACGCGGCGAGCATACATAACCATGCAGGAAGAGAGGGGGGAGGGGAGGCGGCAAAGGAGCAGCAAGCAAGCACGCACGACGGGGGGCGGGCGGGGGGCGGGGGGGGGCGAGGGTCGTCGCGTTGGGGGCGGACAGGGGGCGGGTATGTGGTGCTCCTTGTGTTTCGATTGCCTCACACAAGGAGCACCACATATCTTGCTAGAAACACACTGTTTGGAGCCCAGGCTGGCTAACATATTATTATTATTCTTATACTATTATTATTTAGCACCACGACCCCAAGGCCTAGCTATCCCGCCGCTAGGAGAAGCCCCACACGGCTCTACTCATTCAGATTCTAGAGAGGGGAATGGGAAGCTGATGCCGTGATGGCACGTCAACGACACCACTCGAAACTTCAAAGGAACTCTCGTCACGCCGCTGCAACTATGACGAGGGTGATGGCGATGAGGAGGAGGACGAGGGGGAGGGAGAGGAGGAGGAGGGGGAGGAGGAGGAGGAGGAGGAGGAGGAGGAGGAAGAGGAGGAGGAGGAGGAAGAGGAGGAGGAGGAGGAAGAAGAGGATGAGGAGGAAAACGATGCAACGTGGTTCTGACGGGTCTGAAATACACGGATCTTCCGAGCCCTCGTCCAGCGGAGACCAGCGTGGAAAGGGGCAGGATCCTGCCCTCCTGCCTCCTGGCTAGAAACACGCGCCAGGGCGCCGCCTGGATCGCGCCCGCCAGCACGCGCGGCCTGGCCGGGGCGGGCTCCACCTGTCTTTTTGGCGGCGCACAGAGGGGGGTAGGGGGAAGGGGGAAGGCTTCTTCGAGGGAGGCTGCATCTTAGAAGGCGGCGGCCCTACATCTACAGAGAAGGCCCGCGCCTTGCAAGAAGCAGGGGTGCTCCTAAGAAACCTTCCCCCCTCCCCCAACCCCCCTCTGCACGTGGTTGCCCGTAGGGGCAGTCTCCACTTGACTAGTCCGAACTCCGGCCACCTCGGGTCGGAGCCCAAACACCTGGTACCAATTCCAGCCCGGCATCTGTTATCTGGGAGAGACTCACGTCATTCCTTCGACGTTCTTGAGGACTCCAGAAGGATCCCTGAAGAACCCTTGGAGAATTCTTCAGCAATTCCTGATTTGTCCCTGAGAAATCATGGAGGGTACTTCTGGAATTTCTTGAATCCCTGAGGTATCCTGAAGATCCATGTGGGGGGTCCTTGATCCTCATGAATCGTGATGCCTACCACAAGGATCTTTCAGGGTTCCCGAAGAATCCCACAAGAAGTACTTGAGGATTCCTGAAAAAGTCTTGAGACTTGTCGGTGCGTGCGGTGGTGTTCGGCGCCGCCGTGCTGTGGTCCTTCATGGTCTACGGGACGGCGTTGATTGCAGATGCTGTGATGCTGGAGTTCTTGGTCGCCGCGGCACGCGCCCCCTCCCCCCTTCGCATCGCAGGAGGCTTTGAATAGCACATGCCATTGCACTCACAGGTGGTAGCGAAATGCCGAATAGCATAGCACATACTTCACAAGATCATTGCTCGTCCTTTCCACTTACAGAAACAGTTTGTTGCGTTGCTTCGGCCATGCGTTGGCAAGCTATGTATGTGCCTTGCTTGCGCGTTGCTTTTGGATTGGTGTTGCATTGCGTTGTCGTGCCTTGCGTTTTAGTTTGACAGTGCACCCCTTTGGGGGGATTGCTGCTGCATCGAGCAGACGTTGACGTTGCTTTGCATTTTAGTGTTAACGCGTTGGAGTTGCATTGTGTTCTGCGTTACCCTCGCATTGTGTTAGCATTGTTTGTGATTTGCTGTCGGATTGCTTTGCGTAGGCAGTGTATGCCTACATGCTGCATCGCACTCCGCTGCATTGCACGGAGCTTGTTCTCCATTTGATTCTGCATCGCTCCGCATTGCATTGTGCCTGCTATGTTCACCACTTCTCTGTATGCGATTGTCCAGTCCATTCCATTGCATTGTGCGGCATTGCGTTGGATTTGAGGCGGAGGAGGAGAGCCATGGGGAACTCCCACGGGCCAAGAAAACCTCCAGAGATTTCCGAGCTGGAGGAAGGAAATAACCACTATATGTTATGGAAAAAACTGCGGATCGAAGAACTACCCTCGCCACCCCCCCGGCAAATCCCGGCCGACCCTTCTAAACAATGCAATGCGCGCCAGGAGCGGGCTGGCACGCTCGGACTGAGGTTCCTGCCAGAACCGCTGGCAGCGGGAGGCTTGCCAATCGCGAGCCGCAACGCTTGGAACGAACTTCCTGGCAAGATCCTCGGCAAATGCTGGCAATGTGAAGTACGTCGGAAGCGAGTCCGCATGCTCGGAAGAGGCTACTTGCTGGCAGTACTGGCAATGCGATGTGCGGCGAGAGCGAGCAAGCGCGGTCGGAGTATGCTTCCCTTCACAAGCGCGTTCCACTACTCGCAAAGTGGCTACTCGCAAATGGCCTGGACCCATTGCGCCGAAGCAACAAGGCTCCATTGCATCGAACAACATTTGTTCTTTGGACGTTTGCGGGTAGACACTTTCAGAGTAGCGGAACGCGCTCTCTTATTCCGGGCAACCACGCAGGCAGCGCGACGTGTGCCGGAAGCGAGCCAGCACACTCGAGAAGGCCACGGGCGGGACGCAAGATGGACACCAGCCCGGGGCACCTTCAGCCAGGGAGCTACCCGTAGAAAGTAGATACCCGCTAGGCAGGCCTCGTTAGGGAATGGCGAAGAGAGAAGATGCCCCAGGAGGAAGAACAAAAGGAAGTGTATGACAAAGACGAAGGCGAAGAGCAAACTACAAGCGGTGCCGGTAAATCGCTCCAGTGCGTTCCCGCGGCAACCTTTGCACGGATGGCTCGAGCCAATGATACATCGAACCATGTTGCCCTTCATCCTCCTCCCTGCCCCTCGTCCTCGCTGTCGCCGTACATTGTCGCGCCCCTCGTCGTCCCTCTCTTTCACAATGCCCCCAACACAAAATTCGCCGGCCCAACGGGCCAGAGGCGTGCTAAGATCTCCGGTAACTTGTTAACAATATTTCTAGTTCGCGCGCGCGGAGCGGCCCCTGGGGGCCCCCGGACGAAAAGTACCCCGGCAAGGTCCCGAGAGAAGCCCGGGAGAAGCCACCAGACCACTCCAGGGGAGGGTATTTTTCGACACCCCTCACGAGGATCGTGGCCTCCGAGGGGGGAGCCGCAATCGACTACCCCCAAGAGCCCCCCAAGAGGCCCTGGGGGCCTCCAAAACGCCGCCAAGGAGCCCCAAGAGACTCCCAAGAGGTCCCCAAGAGGCCCCCAAGAGGCCCTAAAGAGGGCTCCAGGGCCGGCGGCATGAGCGAAGCGATTAAATAATGTGAACTAATCGTTGGAAACAGGACGAGAACCACCGGAAAAGAAAAAACGTCTGTGAACTACACTGGACCAATTCATCACCAGACCTAAGCTGACCAAGGGAATGCCGATGTAGCACCAAAACTATCCTGATTCGCTTAGAGGTGTTTCTGCCAGCGGTTGGGTGGCAATCGCGTGTCGCGCACACGCGCGGTTGCAAAACACGCGCTCGGATGGAGCGACACAACAGACAAGAACTAAAACATGCCGACGGTGTCAAGGCTCCCGCGTCGCTCTTCAAGGAGGACGGTGGCCAGCACTGATGCGAGAACACAATTCTCAATCGGAGATGCGATCGGCGCTGAAGCGAAAGCACGACTTACAATTTGGGATCTAGCTGGTCCTGAGGCGAGAGCACAACTCCCAAACCGTGTCGTGGCCAGCGCTGCGGCGATCAAGGGCGTGCTCGGTGCCAGAGCGAGACCACAACTCCCAATCAGGCACGTGGCCGGCGCTAGAGATGGAGGAGGAGGAAGAGGAAGGTAGGAGCAGGGAGGAAGGAGGTTGGGGGGAGGAGGAGGAGGAGGAGGAGGAGGAGGAGGAGGAGGAGGAGGAGGAGGAGGAGGAGGAGGAGGAGGAGGAGGAGGGAGGACGAGGAGGGAAGAGGGAGCAGGGAGGAAGGAGGAGGAAGCAGGGAGGAGGCCACCAATCCCGGTCGGGGATGCGGTCGGCGCTGAAGCGGCATGGAGGCGTGGCTGGCGCTCGCACGAGGAAAGCGGCCCAAGGCAGCGGCCCGCCTCGGGAGAGAGGAGGCGACACGGCCAGCGTTCCGCCACGTTCGCGTGGCACCCCTGACAGGAACGGCTCCTCCTTTGCTTCCACCGCCAACGACCCCACAAAGCAGCTGCCGCCTCCGGGTGAAACGCCTAAGTGCGATAGCCTAGCGTCAGGGCTGAAAACACAAGCACGACCGACCGTCTTCGACGAGCAGCTGCAGAACAAAAAGAGCCAAGGAGAGAAAGAGAGAGATACATCAATAAAGAAATACATAAAGAAAGGCAGAACGAAATGCCTGAAGAAATAGAAAGAGAAAGAGAGAGAGAGAGAGGAGTCAGAGGACATACGTAGCCTCTGGCAATTTGTAAGCTGTGTGTGTGCACAGCGCCATGAACTGTTCCACCGCCTCGCACACGACTGAGGAGTGAATTGCAAACATATTGCAACAGAAAGAGCGGCACTCGGGGTGCAAGTGCCCAACCACGAATTCGAGACAGGGGTAACTTCTCCCGAGGACAAGGATGACGAGGGGGAGGAAGATGAAGCGAAGGAAGAAGGGAGCAGCAGCGGCACCAGGGTGCGGGGTATCGCGAGGCTCCTGATGCTCTCAAAAGAAAGGAGCTTGGGCTACCAAACACACAAATCGTCTGAGACATCCCACAGTCTGGGCGCGAGCGGGCAAGAGTCATCTTCCCAGGCGGCTCCCCCTTGGAGTGCCCAAGTGCCACGCCTGCTAGATCGCGGTGAACATGGGGCTCTCAAAAAGAAAGACGTGTGAGTTACCACACACGAAAACCTTGGGAGACATGCTCACAATCTGGGCGCGAACGGGCAAGTGTAATCCTCCCTGGCGGCTGCTCTTTGGCGTGCCCAAATGCCACGCCTGCTGCGTCGCGGTGAGGACTGGACCCCTGACAGTGTGTAGGCTTATATGTCAATGTCATGTGAGTTGGTCTCTGTGAAAGTAAATCTGAGAGTGGGTCAACCAGAATACGTCCGAGTCTGAGTATCAGTGGGTATGAGGTCTGAGTGCGACTAAGCAGAGTGTTCTGACTGTGAGTCTGAGTGTGAATGGCTCTAAGTGTGCGTGTATCTGAGTACGAGTGATCTGAACGGTAAAAGGGAAAGAGAAGAAGCGGGAAGGAGGAAGGAAGGAGGCAGAGGCGTCACACGAATAACAACGACCTCATACTTAGGACATGGGGAACCAAACAACTACCAGCACGACCTGCACACTACGGATCTGAGTTCGACCACCTCCAGGGGCCTGGTCTGTGCGCAACGCCGAGTGGCAAATGCACCAAGGATGAGCTCGGCATGGAAACCGGGGCCCTCGGCCCAGAACTGTGGCCTCGAGACGCAGGCGGTGCCAACGGAAGCGCAGACGCAAGTCTCTTGCCGAGGAGCACCAGTGAGGGCGCGAGTCTCCCGTGTCATGAGGGGGAACGACAGTGGTGGACTGGCTCAGGGGGGAGGCATTGAGCCAGAATCGGCGATATGTCGCCGATAGATCGGCGATAGGCCCCCGATGCCGAATCCGCGCGCTCCTGGGCGGGGTGGGCCGTCGGCCCCCCCGCAGGCGATCTGTGGGCGACTGCGGGTCGATGCCACACCCTCCTGAGCCGATCCCCATCCCCCCACCCCCAAAGCGTTGCCCCCGGTGTCATCTGCAGCCCCCCAGGCCGTACACCACTCCCCCCGAGATCCGACGCTGCGAACAAACGCCAATATCGCGAGACATCAAGACCGGAGCCCTAGAAACATGTTTCTGCAGCATTCTTCGAGCCAAATCGACCTCTGATGGTCCTAAGGCCCAAAGGCGGGCGAAAACGCCCGGTGTGAAAAGCTGCGACGCCAGGATCTCGGGGCCTGTTACCCCCCATGGTCCTCCTCCCCCGGCTTTCGAGTCACAACTCGGGTCTCCAGCGGCCGCTCGGGACGACCCGGGCACCCCAGGGCGGCGCTCCTCGGCGAGGCGCAGCTGCTGCAGAGCCCCCCGACGCTGGACAACCGCCGAGCACGGATCTCAGGCAACCGAGCGACAACGCCGGGAGCAGCACGAAGGCAACGCCCAGCTATCGAGGCCCCCGCCCCCTCAGCTGCCGTGGCCGATTCCAGAAACCCTGAACCCCCAAAAAACGCTGCCGTCTCTTGGGGCGCATCTTTCACTTCCGCCGCCTTCCGCCGGCGGAGCCGCCCTCGTTCTACTGCCGCCGCCTTCCGCTGCCCTTCCGCCGCCCTCCGTCGAGGAAGGGGCGGCAGCCCCTTCGGTCCTCGACAGCGAAGCCCTTGCTGGAATTCACCGTGTAGCCAGAGATGCACGCGAACACGGAGTCCAACGATTCCGCGGCCTTGCCCTTGTTGCTCGCAGCCGGCTCCTCGGCCGTCATCACGAGCGAGCGGGAGGCTCGCGAGCGGCGGCAACTGCGCTCGCAGTGCCAAGGTCTTGGCTGCAAGGACGTGCGTGGGCGTGCTGGGAACTCTTCCGATCCTGGAAAAGCGAGTGCCTTTCTGGAATGCCTCATGAGCCCCCCTCCTCCCCGGTCAGCGGCGGCAGCGCTGGCCATGCCGCGAGGGTCGGGGGAGCTCAGCATCCTCCTCCCCCTCCTTCTATTCTTCCCCCTCATCATCATCATCATCATCATCATCATCATCATCATCATCATCAGCATCAGCATCAGCATCAGCATCAGCATCAGCATCAGCATCAGCATCAGCATCAGCATCAGCATCATCATCATCATCATCAACATCATCATCATCATCATCATCATCATCATCATCATCATCATCATCATCATCATCACCATCATCACCATCATGGTCATAATCATGATCATGATCATCATCATCGTCCTCATCATCAGCAGCATCATCATCACCATCAGCAGTATCATCATCATCGTCATCATCACCATCCCTCCTCTTCCTTCCTTCCTTCCTTCCTTCCTTCCTTATTTCCTTCATTCCTTCCTTATCTTTCTTATCTGCCTTCCTTCCTTTCTTCCTCCTCTTCCTTCCTTCCTTCCTTCCTTCCTTCCTTCCTTCCTGCTCTTTCTCGTCATCGTCCTCCTCCTCCTCCTCCTCCTCCTCCTCCGCCCTCCTCCCTTCTCCAATCTCCTAAGCCAATCGCTGCGGCACTCGGCCTCCGCCCTTCCCCCACGGCAGGCGGCGGCGCCGCCGACGCCGCGAGGGCCTGGAGAGCTCAGCCTGCACCAGTCCCGGACGTGATCACGTCGTGAAGAATCACGACTGGCTGCCCTGGGCCATTTTCGGCCCCCATGGGGCCCTCGCTGGGCCTCGGGACCGTCGACACAATGACAAACTGGCCGGGAGAGGGTCAGGGTCGGGAGTTCTGGGGACGGCGCACTGACAAGTTCAAGACATCGCATGCCAGAGGGGGCCGCCGCGCCCGCCCCCCCCCCCCCTCCCCAGCAGGCGGCGGCGGCGCCGGCGACGCCGCGAGGGCCTGGGGAGCTCAGCCTGCACCAGTCGCTGCGGCACTCCTGCTTGCCGCTGGTGCCTCGGAGGGCCCGGGGCACGGGCTGGGTGGGGGCAGAGGAGCCTCCAGAGGCGGAGCGGCCCCAGACGTGCTCGCGTCGTCAAGAAAGGCTTGTGTTCTGTCTGCTCCTCTTCCTCCTTCTTCGGGGTCGGCCCAGAAGGCGGCGTCCAAGAGGGGGGGGGGGTAAATCATGGCCGGCGGCACGTGCGCGGCCCAAGGGCGGGGCCAGGGACGTAATGCAATAAGAAGAATCGCCATGAAGTCTGAGGAAATATCATGGCCCACGCCATGATATCCACACACCCCTAGTCATCACCCCCCTCTTGGCCGCACCCGACTTCTGCATGGTGGCACAGTTCGCTCTAAAGGCACCCCCGTCTAGGCCCCCCTGCCAGCGCCGACGACCCCTGCCGCCGACGCAGAAAAGTTCTGCCTGCAGCGCCGGCGGTCGCCAGCGCGTTCGAGAACCGGCGGGGCGCGCCACACCACGGGCACACGAGCGCATGCGTTACAGGGAGGGCGGCCGCAGAGGCAAAGAGAGGAGGGAGGCCCCGTCCGCAGAGAACCTGCAGTCGCGAGGAAGTCAGGACGGGAGGCTTTTGGCCATGGCCTCTGGGGGCCCTCGCCGGGCTCTGGGAGCGTCAGAGAACGGCTCAGGATGAAGAGCCGGTCCCCAGGTCGGGGACGCACTGTCCGGGGCAATGTTGCAAACCTGGGTCAGTCCAGGCCTTGCAGGGTCCTGCCAGATCCTGCGCGCAGGCCCGGGTCACTGCAACCCTGGCCCTGCGGGATCCTGCAAGACCCTGCGCCCTGGCTGACCCCCGCTCGCATGTCGCCCCTGGAGCCCCGACCAGGGCATGGGTCGAGGTCTCTGGGGGCCGGCGTCGTGCACAAAAACCGTGACGTCGGGGCCCTTGGGAGGCGGAGACCGAGGCCTCCAGGACACGATCCGCCGGGTGCCCGGAGCCGCGAACGTCCCAAATGACCAGGAGCTTTTCAAAGGGGGGCCCGACCTCCATCCTGGAGGCGTTTTTCCCCCTCCGCTCTGGAGGCCTGCCGCCTCTGGAGCAGAGGTCCTGGCCTCCTCCAGAAAAATGGCGGTGTTCGATCCTCTCGGGGTGGTCCCGGGTCGGCTGCTGCCTGGCTAGTTCGTTGCTCGCATTCTCCGCCTGGGGCGGGGGGCGCCCGTTACAATCGGACCGAGGCCAGAAGAACATCCATCAAGAGCATGAGGCACTCCGCCGGCCAAAACATGCAGAGCATCCGAGGGTACCCTCCCCAGGAGGCACAAGAGCATCCAACAAACACGGAGAACACTACATAGGGCACCTTCCTGGAACCGACCTCGATCTTGCACCTCGGTCCGACTGCACCACAAGGGCAGGGTGCGCCGCCGTCTTCGGCGGCAGGTCTCTCTGGATGTGGGCGCCGTGCCGTCCAGTGGCAGCCCGCCCCGTCCGCTCTCCGAGCAGGCCCCTCTCCTCCATCCTCTTCGGGCCTAACTGACCCCCCAAACCTGCACGTGAGTGCGGCTTCCTCTTAAAGCCTGAAAGTTGTGAACCGAACACACCGTTTCACGACCTGCAGCAGCGTCGGCACTAGACAGAGGATTATTCTGTCTCGTGCCGATGCTGCTGCTCCTCGGGCCTCGTCCCCCCTTGCCCTACCCTTCGCCCCGTCCGCCCCCTTGGCTTCCTGCGCCTCTTCACCCCCCCCCTCCTCGCTCCCTGTCTCCTTCCAGCCCCTCCTTGCCTCCCTCCCTCCCTCCCTCCCTCGCTCCATCTCTCCCCATCTTCACGCCAGACACCGTGGTGAACCCACATGGGAGCACATGTAGAAGTAAGCGAGGCAATGCGTACTTGCTATGCTTGCAAGAGAGATCGCAGCGAATGTGACCGTTATTCAGCTGCGCTGCCCTGGACACCAGCCCGCCCTGGACACTGCCCCGCGGTAAAGCACATTTATTTGACACCAACAGAAGGGCACCGGTGGTGGCCACGACCTCCCTCCAAGAAACCAACAATGATTAACCATTTGATGTGCAGGGTGCACAACTTGTGGCTACGCTGTGCACGGGCAACATCGCCCGATGATAAAGGGCTGGGCCATCTAGGCTGCGAAGCGGGCTGAATTCCCTCCTGCTGGCTCAACGATCCCCCCCGACGGGATGCGGATTCACATCAGCACGACTTCTCCTGCTCCTCCTCCTCCTCATCCTCCTCCACTTGCGCCTGAAGAATGTGCAGGTGGGACCGCTGTGCACCGTGACTGCGACCAGCCACACGAATCAATTTCCTTGGTTGCTTTCCGAGCGTTGCCAGGAAGCGGCGACGCTATCTGGCCCACACATAGTAAGCCCGACGAACAAGAGCAGCAAAACACAACACCATCACAAACGCGTCCGAATAATCAGAGTACGTGGCGAAGCGCAACAAACAATCTGCATGCCCATACGTATTACGTGTACTTGTGCGTGTGTGTCTGTAAATCTATAAGGGCGGGGGAGAGATAGAGAGAGAGGGGGAGAGAGAGAGAGAGAAAGAGAACAAACAACTAAATGCGCAGATATGTGTGTGTGTGTTTGCGTGTGTGTGTGTGCTTGTGTGTGTCTGTGTCTGTGTCTGTGTTTGTGTCTGTGTATGTGTGTGTGTGTGTCTGTGTCTGTGTCGTGTCTGTGTGTGTGTGTCTATGTCGTGTCTGTGTCTGTGTCTGTGCCTGTGCCTGTGTCTGTGTCTGTGTCTGTGTCTGTGTCTGTGTGTGGGGCGTGCGCGTGCGCATGTTCGTGTTGTATGCGCACCCTACAACGCAGCGTAAACAACGTCTAAACTCCTCGTTTCTCCCTCCTCGTTCTCTGTCTTTCTCATCCTCCCCTCTTTCTCCTCCTACTTTATCCTTTTTTCTCTCTCCTCCTCCCTCCTCCTCCTCCTCCTCCTCCTCCTCCTCCTCCTCCTCCTTCCACGCTCCCTCCTTCCGTCCCTACTGCTTCTCCTCCTTCTCCTCCTCTGTTCCTCCTCTTCCTCCCCTTCACTTCTCCTCAGTATTCATCCCATTGCCGATACGTAAACCTATACTTTATCATGCTCCTCCTCTTCGTCTTCTTCCTTCTTCTCCTCCTCCTCCTCCTCCTCCTCCTCCTCCTCCTCCTCCCCCTCCTTAGTCCTCGTCTTTCTCCTCCCATCGTTCTTCCCGCCTCTTCCTCCTCCCATTCCCTTCCTCTTCTTGTACGCATTTGCAAGAATGTTGTTCTTATAGCGAACACGTAGTTACCAGACAGTTGCATGTCTTACGCACCATTCCTATATACTCCGATTGCCCGTCCTCATCATCAGCATCCTCCCTCCTCCTCTTCCTCCTCCTCCCATTCCTCCCTTTTCCTCCTCCCTCCGCCTCCGCCTCCGCCTCCTCTTCCTCCAAAACTACGCAATCTGAGTACTACTCTCCTCCTCCTCCTCCTCCTCCTCCTTCCTCTCCTTCTCCTTCTCCTCCTCCTCCTCCTCCTCCTCTTCCATTCCGTCTCAGTATAAGTAACTCCTCCCTGTCGCACCCCGAGGCAAGTTTTTAGGGCGGGCTGGGCGTTTCGCTTAAGACCTTCCACCATGTATGGCTCTGAAGCTTAAAAAGTGGCAACAGTTTCACAGATGGAGGGCGGGCCGCTTTCAACATGTGGCTCTCGCCTTAGCGCCACGTGCATTCGTTTTAAACATTCGCAAGAGTTTCACGGGTTGAGGGCGGATCGTTTTCAAAATGTGGCTCTCGCGTTAGCGCCGCGTACATTCGTTTTAAACATTTGCAAGAGCTTCACGGATTGAGGGCGGGTCGTTTTCAAAATGTGGCTCTCGCTTTAGCGCCGCGCACATTCGTTTCAAATATCTGCAAAAACTTCACAGATTGAGGGAGGGTCGTTTTCAGATGTGGCTGTCGCCCTAGCGCTGCGCACATTCATTCGCAAGAGCTTCATGGATTGAGGGCGGGTCGTTTTCAAAATGTGGCTCTCGCCTTAGCGCCGCGCACATTCCTTTAAAACATTTGCAAGATCTTCACGGGTTGAGGGCGGATCGTTTTCAAAATGTGGCGCTCGCGTTAGCGCCGCGTACATTCGTTTTAAAAAGTTACAAGAGCTTCACGGATTGAGGGCGGTTCCTTTCCAAAAAGTGGCTGTCGCCTTAGCACCGCGCACATTCTTTCGAACAGTTGCAAGAGTTTCACGGGTTCGCATGGTCAGCGTACCAGGAATGGTGTTTCAGGATCATGCGGGCGCAGCAGTTATGTTGATTCGCTGTGCTGAAGTCTCAAAAACGGCGTTCTGGCATGTTTCTGGGTCGTCAAGACGCAGCAGTCAGGTTGATACGTGGCGTTGAAATCACAAGAGAAATCTTTTGGCACGCTTCAGGATGTTCAAACGGTTGTCTTCCAACGAGGCAGTTCCCTCAATGGAAATGAACGGTTGTAGGGGCCTATGAAGATGGAGCTTGGAGGGAGGGTTCATTCCAACATCGTTGATCACTCTTGGGTTTCCACTGGTCCTCCTCCTCCTGCTCCTCCATCACTATCTCTCTTTCATGATCCTTCCCCTAGTCTCCGTGCAGTTGGCATTCGTCTTCTTATTCCTTCTGGCCCTCCTCCTTCCTCCTCCTTTTCCTTCCCATATTTCCCTTGTTGTTGGCATTCGTGTTTTTTTTCCTCCTCCTCCCTCCCTCCTGGTCCCCACTCCGCTTCGTCCATTGCCCCCCCCCCCCCCTCCCCCCCCCCTCCCTGCGCACGGCCTGGGGACACATAGCACAGCATCTTGCCTCGTGGAGGGGCGCTCGCTTGGGACGCGGGCGCGCGGATAAGTACGCCAAGCTGGGGGAAGAGTGGAGGCGAGAGGGAGGAATAAAAGATCCTTTATCCCTCCTCCGTTCTTTCCTTCCGCCTCCCGTCCGCCCTCCTCCCTCACGCCCCCTCCTCAAGCTCTTCCCTGTCGTCCTCCGTCCCCTCCTCCGCCTCATCTCCCTCTGTCTCCTCCCTCCTCCTGCTCATCCGTCGAGGGGGGAGCGGAAAAAGGGAGGGGACGGGAGGAGAAAGTAAAGACGAGAGGGCAAGAAACTGTGAAAACGTAAAGGAAAGAGGCGGTGGGAAGAGGAGGGACGAAAGGGAGGGGGAGAGGAAGAGTGAGGGAGGGACAGGAGGGAGAGGAGAAGAACTGAAGAAAGACAAAAGGAGACTGGAGGAGGGCTGGCCATTCGAGACATTGGCGGCCCTCCCTGGCGTTTTGCGTCCTTGTCGTTGCCTCCAGAAGGTTGCTCGTCGCCGCGACTGGATCCGCCTCGAAAATCAAGTCAGGATGGGCCCCCCACGGTCCATCACCGATCTGATCAGCCAGCGCCGCCGCCGTTGCCGCCAACGTCCACTCGCCTCGATTCGCAGCGCCGCACGGAGGCTGTCTATCCGACAAACGTGGCTCGCTCTCGCCAGGTCCGGAACCTCAGTCAGCGCGAGTGGCCATCTGCCAGGCCGGCGGCTTATACCCCAGAGTGGGGTCGCGCTCTGCAGCCAAGGCGATGATCAAGAAGCGGTTCGCCAGAGAAGCCTGGGCCAGCACCGCGGCAAAATCTCGAGCAGACGCTGGGCCAGCCTCGCGCGTGCGGCCTCCTCGACGCATGCCGGGGGCTGCAGAAACGGGGCCGGCCTCCAGGAACGCGGCCGAGGAAGCGCTGGCCCGGGTGCGCGAGGACAGGACAGGACCAAGCCGCCGTTCCCGCACCGAGGTGCGGCCCTCGAAAAAACGCGCAGGCGGGAGGGGCCGTGGCCCAGGTGAGCGAGGAGAGGCTTCTCAATGATGGGCGTGGCTGCGCCAGGAGCGGGGCTGCGGCGCTGGCGCGCGGCACGCCCAGGGAGTGTCCGCCCGCAGACGTCTCGTGCAGCCAAGGTCTTGGCTGGGAGGCCCCACGCATTGCCACCGCCGCCAAGGCGCCAAGATCGGGGAGAGCCGTCTTCATCGAGGGATGAGGGGAGCCACGATCGTATTGCTGTTAGCGGTGGTCATTGCGTAGTTGGGCCTCGCGGATGGCCTACGTGCCACATGGGCAGGGCTTGCAGCCAAGGCGGAGGTTCGGGGGTGTTGGGATGGGGTGGGCATCCGTTCCCCATGTCCTCCGAAAGAAGTGCTCCCATCATGCTTATTGTGATCATCGTGATGGTGCTTACCCAGACTAACTTTGGGTGGTTCACGTGTGTGCCTTCACTCGCATGCTGGGTCCACTGCCACCCTGACTCGTGGCACTGTGGCTCCTGGCTCCAGCACTGCCAGGTAGCCGGACGACACACGCACGCGGATAGATTCCCATCCGGGAGCCGGGCGGACAGAGCAACACGCGGCAGAACGCGGCAAACAAGTTCGGCCGCCAGCACTCGCCCAGGTCTTCCACGCCATGTGCATCTAGTTTCAGGTCGGGCGTATCCTCCTGCAGGCGAATTTTGGACGAGAAAAGAAGAATAGTCACACAATACTCCCAAATAAGCAAAAAGTAATCAGAGATCGTCACCAACATATCTTTTTGACAATTTGGGGATATCCCTCCTGTAGAGGGACATGGCCGACTTCAACTTAGCTTCCTGGCAGGTTTCCAGTAGCGGTGTCGAATTGTACACTCCTCGTGCTACCACAAGAAACGCCGAACAAGGGACGCTGAGGCCATGCTGGCTACGGCGAGACTCGGCGACGCACGGGCTCGCCACCCTACGTCGAGGGAGCGGCCCGAAAACCAGAGCGCCTCCCGAGCCCAACGTGACCTTACTTCCGCACTCTGACTGTAGGCTTCCACTTGCCCCCCACCCCCCAACTCATAGAAAGGGCAAGAAGGTCAGAGAAACGATCCCACCCTGGATTCCGTATAATGCTGATGATGAAGCGACACATTTTGCCCAGTGGGTGGAGTCCTCACTCCAGTCTGATTATCTGCACCTGAGCCGAGACGCCGACAGGTGAGCGAAGGAGATGGAGAGTCAGATATAGGATGCACACACACACACGCACACACACACACACACACACACACGCACACACACACACACACACACACACACACACACGCGCGCGCGCATGCACACCGCCCTCGCAGCACCGACCACCCAACCTGCGCCACCAGCGCCAGCTCCGCCGCTCTTCCGCTGCGGGGGGGGCCTGTGATAGGAGCGCCGCTCGTGTTCTCCCGAATCTTGCGCATCTGAGTCTCCGCGGCCTGGGGAGTCGAAGGGGAGGCCAACGCGGAGGAGGAGAAGGAGGAGGAGGAAGACGCGGACAAGGACGAGAGGGAGGAGGAGGAGGAAGAGGAGGAGGAGGAGGAGCAGGAGGAGGAGGATGAGGAGGGGAGGAGGAGGAGAGGAGGAGGAGGAGAGAGGACGAGGAGGAGGAGGAGAAGAAGGAGGAGGCGGACATGGGAGGACGGTATAAGGAGGAGACGGGATGTGGGAGCACGAGGAGGAGGACATGGGGGGGATGATGACGATGAGGAGGAAGAGGTGGAGGAGGAGGAGGAGGAGCGACAGTACCCTCAGGATGATGATGATGATGATGATGATGATGATGATGATGATGATGATGATGATGATGATGATGATGATGATGATGATGCTGATGACGATGATGATGCTGATGATGATGATGCTGATGATGATGCTGCTGATGATGCTGATGATGATGATGCTGATGATGATGCTGATGATGATGATGATGATGATGATGATGCTGATTGATGATGTTGATGATGATGATGATGATGATGATGATGATGCTGATGCTGATGCTGATGATGATGATGATGATGCTGATGCTGATGCTGATGCTGATGATGATGATGATGATGATGATGATGATGATGATGATGATGATGATGATGATGATGATGATGATGATGATAACGACGGTGCTGATGACGATGATGATGCTGCTGCTGATGATGAGGAGGACAAGGAAGAGAAGGAGGAGGAGGAGGAGGAGGAGGAGAACGAAGAACGAGCGAGGAAGCGGAGAGGAGGGCAGGGCGACGGCCACTCCGAAGCCCGCCCGAAATGTGGGAGACATCTTCGCGCAAATGGGACACGGCAACACTGAGAAGAACGAGACCAGGAGGCAGCCGAGCGGGTATGGGGTTTTTTTTTGCTGATAGAGACTGACCGCAAGCGAACCAGCCTTCGTTTGAAAAACCTCTAGCCAGCGCAGGGGACGCATTCGACCCGATCCCACGCACCGTGGGATGGGTCGTCGTCGTCCTCCACTACGCTGGCAATGGGAAAGCCAGCAAGGCCGTCCCACAAGGCCAGATCGGCCTGGAAAGCGGGCGGCGGCGAGCACACCTGCCCCGTCCACCCCACCCCCGCCCCCCCACTCCCAGTCCCGACCGAAGGAGAGAGAGCAGGCAGAGGCGGCAGTTCGGCCGACTCCAGCAGCCTTCGCTTCCGCAGCAAAATCGGAGGGCCCACGAACTCGCGGGACCGAAGCGGATGGCAGCCTCGCATGAGGTTGCGCAGCCTGTAGTACCTCGAGTCTCTCACGAGGACACCCTGCCTACGATTCATCGGCAAGCAATCCTGCGAAAGACCCTGGCTCTTCTTTTCCGAAAAAGCCCCGCACAGAGAGCAGAACAGGAAGGGCCCCGCGCGGTGAAGTGCGTGGGAGCTGGTCCTGTCGTCACAACGAAGCTGGCGAAGCACCGAGCGTGTCCTCGCTGACCGAAGGCACACCATGCATCGGAACCTTTGCGCAACCACCGTCACTGCAGGGTCGAAGCGCGAGTGCGGCTTCGGGGGACCGAGTCCCCCCTCAATCGTGCCTATGGCACGGCCGAGTATTTGCGCTTGAGCGTCCCGTGGCGTGATCGTGCCGATCCGAGCGACCAGCCTGGTACAGAACTGAGCAACTAGGCGGATGGCGCTGCGCGACGCGCCATGCGCAGAACGCAGCTGGAGGGAATCTCTATGCATGGCGGCACCCCATTTAGCCGACTGATCAGCTTGGGCATTGCCGACCCTCTGCCATTCTGAAATCCGTCCCTCTGCTACGGCAGAGGCAGGAGTATGTGCTTTGACGTGAGAAACCTCCACCGACTCACCCCCACGGTCAGACACAAGCCTCCAAACCTCCCTCCATAGTAAGGCAAGCGGGTCACTCGCAGCGGTGCCTGCTCCAACACCTTGGCGCCAGACATCCACGAGTGGCTTGCAATCCGTATAAAACTTCATCTGAGCTCCCATATAGCGCAGCGCCATCAAGAAACTGAAAAGCTCAGCCGCTGGCACAGATTGAATGAGACAGGGCAGAGGGCCATGGAGGCGAGCAACCACTCGCTTGCTGTCGTCAAGCGAACAGAGTCCCCATCCGCAGCGCCGTAAGCGAGAGAAACGTCCGTGCCTCCCCGACCCATCACCGAACACGTGCATATCGAGCAGCAAGTCGGGAGACCGCACCGTCCACACGACTCGCTCCTCGAGGCAGGGGCTCGGGAAGAGCCAAGCAGGGTCAGGGACAAGAAAGCGCGTGAAAAGCAAGGTATCCACCGCAGCAGCTCGAGCCATGTCTAGCATTTGACCAGCCATGGCACTGCCAGCTCTGTAATCCCGACGAAACTCAGTATGCAGGGGGCAATCGTAGAATCGGTGCCAGGTAGATCCAGCACTCTGACAGGCAAGGCAGCTCGGGTTGACGGCTCCACCTGACTCGTACAGTCGCTCCTGCGACCAGAACCCTCCTGCAAAAAGGCACCGCAGAAGACCCTGATGCCTTGGGGTCCAGTCAGGGCCTCGGATAGAATGAGGCTGGAGGAGGGACCTCAGGGGCTCCACGAGAGGAGGATGAGGGCAGGGCGAGACCCACGAGGGATGCTTCGCGAGAACCTGTCGCCACACCCACCGCTCGGTGGCCTCATCAACTAACCTACCTCCATCCTTCGGGGAAATCTGTTCAATTGCGAGAGGACCTCGGTGGGTCTTCCAATGAAAAGGGTCAGATACAGACCAACCCAACCGCAAAAGTGTCGCAACTAGCGCAGAAGCAGGTCCGCGAATGTCAGACCAAACTTGAGACACAGGAACACTAGACAGGCGTGCCCATGCTCCACTCAGAAGTCGCGCCATATCTGCTCTGGGGGCCCATCCGTCCCACAGCGCCTGCAGCCAGAGGAAGATCGGGCTCCTGTTGCACTCGAAGGCGGGGTCGACCTGCGGCCCAGCAAGCATGAGGTCCAATGAGAGCGACCTGCCCGTGTGCCTGTAGACCATGCCCGCGCGCGCCAGCTGCCTCGCCCTCAGCAGGTGCGTGTTGCTGATGCCGTGAACTCCCACTGCCCAGAGCATACCAGGCTTGAGGCCAGTCTGCACCAGTTTGATCGTCTTGCCCCCAGCTTTCGCGAGCCGCTTATACCGAGGGATCCGAGACGCCATCCTGCCCAGCCGCTGTGCACGAACCGAATGAGAAAGCCGATTTCCACCGCCAAAGTCCAGCCCCAGGTTCCGAACCGAGCGTGTGAGGAACCTCGACGAGGACGGGTTGACTTTCCTAAAAACCTTCCGTATGCCTTGGCCGACGACCACCTGGTGCTTCTTGGGCAGGGAGAGGGTCAAGCCGATCTGCGAAAGCTCAGCCGCCAAGAGGTCCTCGGCCCCCTTGAGTTCCCTGGCAACTTCCCACGCCTCGCCAATACGTTGCAACTGCAGATCATCCACCACGACCGCCACCTCGACATTCACGAAGCGAAGAGAGACGGCATCCACTGGCGACAAGAGCACCAGACGCAGCAGGGAGGTCGCGCAGCTGCAGCCCGCGACAATCGTGCGGTGCGTCACCACCGCCTGCGTGGCGATGTTCTGGAAGAGCACCATTCTGTCGAGGCAATATGATGCGAGCAGGAAGCGAAGGGTCTTACCTCGGAACTTGTGCCGACGGGCAGCTGCAGCTAAAACATGATGGGGCACGTGCTCGTATGCTTTGACCAGGTCGAGCAGGGTTGTCCCTGCCGCTCTGCCCTGGTCCCTGGCCAACTCCGCCTTGAAACTCTGCTTCCCAACGCAAATGTCACATGAGGCCCCTGAGTCACCATACCAGAACAACCGAGGGTTGGCCTTTTCCCAGGGGCCAGCAACTTTCCATCGGGCCCAACGGGACCACAACCGAAGAGGCGTCGCGAAGATCCCAATAGGACGATCTCCCCCTTCAGGCGGTGGCTTCGGTAGAAGAGCAATAAGCAGTAGAGCCCAGCACCTCGGAATGTGAACCAGGCGCTGCATCTCGACCCAGATCCGTAGGAAGACCGCGACAGCGCCGTCGTCAAGGAAGGACCAATGACGGGGATGCAGGCCACAGACTCCAATGGCCGTGTGCGTGCTGTAGGTCCTGGTAAGGGCTAAGAGCTCCTCATGGGTGGGGGCCTCCAGCTCTGGCTCGTCATCGCACCAGTCAAAATCAGGCTCTGGGAAAGCTTGGCCGACACCCCAATGCTGATGCCACTTTTGAGCCCGATGATCGGCTTCAGCAGCAATCCCCAGAGGTTCACCAGACGGCCCCGAGAAACAAGAGAGCCCAGATGCAGCCCACTTGGGAACCTCTTTGGTGAACCGGTGGCCCAGTCGAGCGCTCCCAGATAAAGCATCTTGAACCCACTCACGCCAGGCTCGGGCCCGCTCAGAGGCCGCATGATGCTCGTGCTGAAGGGCCCACTTGCGGACCTGCCAGATCAACTCCTGGAGCTCCGAGACGTTGGCAGGGTTGACGGCCAGAACCCGAACTCTCCAAGAAGCCCAATGCTTGCAATCGGTGTAGGGGGACTGGTAGTGCACGAGCTTCCGCAAGAGGCTCCCCGCTTGTTTTATCCCCCCCAAGGTGGGCGCAGGCCCATGCCAGAGATATACGATGTCCTGGAGTCGCCTTTCCAAGACACGCCACATACGGCCCTCCCCAATAGCCCTGGGATGAGTGGAGGCTGGGGGGCCGAGCAGAGGGACTTGCACCACCTTGGGGGGGCCTCCTCGGCCTCGGTACCGTGGATCCCCATCAACATGAAATACACGAGATAGCGCCACCTCAGCTCTTTGAACCCACAGAGAAGTGACAGCATCCAAACGGTCCTTGGTACAATCTCCCTGGGAAAGCTGATCAAGCAAGTCATCCCACTCCAGGGGGCGAGGGTCGCACCCAACAGGGCGGTGGAGAGGGAGCGCCGACGGCTTCTTGAGTCTGGGAACTGTCACC